AGGCTGAACGCTGCCCTGCTTCGCAAAAGGATGCCCAGCTGAGCCTCACCAGGCATAACCCTCACCGCACGTCACTGATTCTTAAAGGTTTCTTCCCTGGCAGAGTTCAACGTCCTGATATCGAAGAACTCTGCGCTGTTGTTAGAGAAATGGCGGCGGTTGGATAAAGGCTGCCAGGCCAAGCCTCTTGGCCGCCCCCACCAGGACCCTGTCAAGGCCTTCCTGCCCCACAGACTGTTTCCCAGACCTGGGTAGGGGCCATCCTAAGCAGCCCCTCCTTTCCTTATCATGGGTGCTTAGCTCCCGGTTAAATCGGGCCCATCGTCCCCTTGGATCTTCTCTACAACATTCGCCATCGGGATCCTCTTCCCTCGCCCTGTGCCTCTGCCACGCTCTCCCCCTCCCCGCCCAGCTCCCCACTTGGAGCAGCCCCTCTCCCTGAGAGGTGCAAGGCTGCTTGCCCACAGAGCACCAGGGGCCTCTTTTCAGGGGACCACAGTTGAAGCCAGCCTGCCTTTCCTCCAGGGAAATCCCTTGGACAGATAAAATCCCAGGAATAATGGGGGGGAGGAGGGTCTGCCTGCAGCAGCCCCTCCTCCTCCTGCATCCAAACAGGTGTGGTCAGCCTGACCCTCTGTTCCTTTGTCCTGGCGCTTGGCCAGGCAGCTTCAGGCAGGAGGAGGGCTCTCCCTGGGGGGGAGGTGCAGGGGGGGGGCTTGGTGAAAAGGCTTGCAGGTGAGCCGCAGGCTCCTCCTCTTCCCTCCCACCCTTGACTGGGGAGGGGCTCAAAGGAGGCAGACAAAGGGGCGTCTGGGTTCCTCTCCTCAAGCCAACTCTGGGCTTCCTTGCATGGCAGGCAGCTCAGCCAGCAGGCAGCCCTTTGCCCCGGAAGCTCCTCCGTGCTCTTCCCTGCTCCTGTTGTTTCCCCTGCTGCTCCTCCCCTGCAGGTGACTCCGGGGGGGGGGGGGGCTCTGTCTGGGCTGCTGTGCAAAGCTTTCCTTTCTCTCTTCAGCCAACGCTGGACGGGTCCCAGTCAGAAATTAAAAGATCATTTTAAAATGATAAAACACAACCAGCGGAAAGATTAAAACAGCAAAACCCTGGTGCCCATTCATATTATTAGCCTGCCCTCCACTCGTTCTCTCCCATTGCTTGGAGGAAAGAAAACCGGCCTGAAAGGCGCTTTTGCAGCCAGAGCGACCTGGGCCTGCCGTCTTCTGGGGATTCCCACCCTCGTCCCAGCCTCCTTATTCGCGGTGACGGTTGTGCTCCCCCCCCCCACGAAGGGACCCTATGAAGGGAGCCTCAGGCGGCTTCCCCATGAGAGCTCAGGCTCCCTCTTCTGCCCTTCCAGAAAGTGGACATGAAGACACAGGTGGCTCTCCCACCTGTCGGCCGGGCTTCTTGCAGGTGGAGCCCCCTCTGGGCCCCACAGCTGCTGCTTTGGGGTTGGGCGGCTGCTCCCCTTCATATCTACCCAGGTTCCGGTGAGGGGCCTCTCTGAACCGGCCTCCTCCAGCTATGCCCTCCGCTGTTTTGTGGAAATGAACTTCGGAGGTCAGCGATGATGGGCTGAATGTGGCTCCTGGTCCCGATCCCTGAAAGGAGGCCGAGAGCCGCCTGTGTGCAACCCCCTTTCTCTGGAAGTGTGTTGTGAACTGTGGGTTTCTCTTTCGGCTTTAGGAAGATGGTCCGTGGAGCGGGAGAACCATGAAGTGTGTCAAGAGATGTTTGTCAGACCCTTTCATGGCCCTGCGTAACCCATGGAGGAGGAGGAGGGGTCCTTTCTGCCCCTGGGGGGCCTTGGGGTTCCTCGGCATGGCTCCTAATTTTTGCTTTGTACCGTTTTCAGAGCACGTGACTTCCAACGCCAGCGACAGTGAAAGTAGTTACCGTAAGTGTCTCCAACTGTCTTCCTTCCAGCTGTTTTTTTTCTGGGAACTTTCAGAAGTCCAGGCTTACTTTTAAGAGCAATTGGAAAATGGAGACGCCTTGAAGCTTCAGCTGGTGTGAAAGGCGGCAGCTGCCCATTGGTTTCTGGGGGCAATTCAAGGCGCTGCTAAAGGCCACTGTGGGCGAGAGCTGGGTTACCTGAGGGTGTGCCAGTCTCCCACTGCTACCTCTGCTCACCCGGTCAGGCCTGGCAGGAGGGGCGTGTATGGGCCCCATTGACCGAGAGACCCAGGAGGAGGGAGAGCCCGTGTGCCCCCGGAGCTGTTCTTTGGCCCCTCTGTTGCCTTGGCTTCTCTGCCCAGAAGCTCCACAGATGTGGCTGAGCCAAGGGGGCGGTGGGTCTGGCCGGCGTTCAGAGGACGCTGGGTGGCTTGATCCAGCACTTGCTCTCGTCTCCTTTTTATGCTTTTTCATGGAGTTTTAAGCTGGTTTCCTCTCTTGCTTGTCCTGGGCTTTTGAAGAAGAGGCCAAGGGCCCCAAAGCAGCCTTCAGGGTGTTTGTGCCACAGTCTTGTTGCAAAGTTCACTTCAGCAGACTGGAGAATAAAACCCTTTCACTTTCCTCATTAAAGCTTCTGTAAGCAACAGAGGCCAAAAGAGAGAGAGAGAGAAAGAAAAAATTAAAAGCTTCATTATGAAACTTCAAGAAGTGCGCCAAAGGTTGTTAAGAGGGCGGCCTCCTCCGTTGTCCTCCAGCATTAATCTGGCTTCCCTTGCAGGCCATGGGGGGCTGAGGCTGCCTGGGCGGGCTTTGGGGTTTGGGGGTCACAGCGGCTGGTCGCTGGCAGGAGGCTGGCAGGAGGGGAAGGGGGGGGGCGCATCCTATGAAAGCATATGTTAAGTCACAGTCTCTGATGGCCTCTCTCTGACTTTCCAGGTGGCCAGGAAGAGTGTGTCTTGTCTTATGAACCGGTCACCCAGCAAGAAGGTTGGTACCATTTGGCCTGTGAACTGACCCGCCAGAGAGTGGGTGCTGCCCCTTTGCTTGGCAGATACAGATTTATCTTTAGCACCGTGAAGAGCGGAGCCATCAGATTTTGCCTTCCCTGCGCTGTGAGGCCAGTCAAAACTTCCTCATGATTTTGAAGTGCGTGGAGGACAGAAAAAGGTGGACAGGAAAACCTTGGTTTCAGGGCGGCTGTTAATGTGGCTGATCAGCTGCCTATTTGCTTACGCCGTTCCCCAGGGCTCTTGTCAGAAAACCAGGGGCAGGCGGTGCCAGCCTCTGCCTGGGAAGTTCTTCTCGGCTCTCCCGGCCCTTTTCATGATGCTTTTTACTGGCAGAAGAAAAAATGCCTCTTGGCACGAATGGATTTGCACTTACGACCACCGCGTTCGCATAGTGGCTTATTTGCTTTACATGGCAAATCTGTTTATGATGAGCATTTAAAGCGGGGGCAGCCTTTCGTGGGCTTCCCGTATAGTCTCTGCCTTAGAGGGCCTTCCTCTCCCCCCCTCCCCCCCCGGGCTCTAGTGCTCACTTAACGACCATAGCTGAGCCCACAATTTTGATCATAAGTTGTTGTGATCATTAACTGGGTCATCACATGACTTGATTTGATTTTAAATCCTTAACCGAATTCATTCTCCTGAATGGAGGCTCTTTGCTGGAAACTGGCAAAACTTGCCATAAACCAGCAACAGAGCATTGCCAGTGGTGGTCCCTTGATGCTGCCACCGGTTGCAAGTGTGAGCAGTCGCTCCCTTTGTGGCCCCAGGGATGGGGCGCTTTGCCCACCTTCCTGTCCACTCGGCCCTTCCATGCTTCTGGTCCTCTGGGTCGGGTGGCTGAAGGAGGCCTTTGAGGAAGTGGCTCAGATTGGAGGGCCAGTAGCCCTTTCCCCACTTTCCAGAAAAGAGGGGGGCGTGGCCCCTCTCCTCTCCCCTCGCTCTGCCCTAACTGGAGGCGCCCGGGCCTGTTTCTGTCTTCCAGTCAGCTACACGCGTCCCGTGATTGTCCTGGGTCCCATGAAAGACCGCATCAACGACGACCTCATCTCGGAATTCCCTGACAAGTTCGGCTCTTGCGTCCCACGTAGGTGTCCCACCTGGGGGGCTGTGGGTGGGTGGGGGCTGTGGGTGTTCCTTTCCTCGTGGTGCTTGAAACCTGAATGACTTTTCAATGTGGTCCCTTGCAATCAGCTCTCGTAAGCGGTGGCCGGAGTGGCCCCCGGGAGCCTTCAGCCGAAACTTCACTTGGGTAACAGGACAGGAGCAGCAGCCACCCTGTCCCCGGGAGTCGCCCTCGCCGCCCAAGGCAGGCTCCCTCCTGCTGGGATCTGGCCGGGATCCTCTGGGAAGTTGGACGTGAAGTTTTTTCTTCCTCCGGCTTCTCACCGTCAGGTGGCTGCCGGGACTGTGGCTCTCCCTCTCGTCTCTCAAGGTTACGGCATGCTGTCTCCCTGGCCGTGCCAGAGGCAGACGTGGCCGGAGCCCATCCGATTTCCAGTGGAAATGTGGTTGTGTGTGAGGTTCCCCTGGGCAGGTGTAACACCAGTAGAGGCTCTCTTCCTGGGTCCTCCCTTAATCGGCACTTGGGCCCACTGCGGCCTCCTCCAGGGGGTGGAGATGACAAAGCAGGCAAGCGCCCCAGGGCAGGCCCAGAATCGACTCGGCGGGGCATTCCGTCTGAAACCTGTCTGGAAAGAGATTGCAGGAGCTCCCGTGGACTCCTCAGAGGCCTCCGCCAGAAAGGTCTGGTCCTTTCTGAGGGGCCTCTGGCTCATCCGCCACAGCCAGGGTGACCATGGAGGGTCATTCCACCTACATACACTCGCCGCCGCCGCCACCACCACCACCATTCTGTCAGCCTTTCTTTTGGGCATTGAAGTGTGTGTTGTGTGTACATATCTCCTTGTTGGGTCTAGTGTCTGGCTGCTTTGCAGCGTCAGTAGAAGAACTCATGGCCAGTGGACATTCACTGATCTCCACTCAACTTCTGATCTCTCTCTCTGTCTCTGTCTCCCTCTCCCTCTCCCTCTGTAAAGATACGACCCGACCGAAACGAGATTACGAGGTGGATGGGCGAGATTATCACTTTGTGATGTCGCGAGAACAAATGGAGAAAGACATCCAGGATCACCGGTTCATTGAAGCTGGCCAGTACAACAACCACCTCTATGGGACAAGCGTCCGGTCCGTGAGGGAGGTTGCCGAGAAGGTAAAGGCACTATTCCCCACTCCCCCCCCCCCCAATTGAGGCTCCACGTCCAGTGGCCTTGAGCGGTTCCTCAGGCAGCCTCTCCTTCCCTCCAGGGCAAGCACTGCATCCTTGATGTTTCTGGGAACGCCATCAAGAGGCTGCAGAGCGCCCAGCTGCACCCGGTCTCCATCTTCATCAAGCCCAAGTCCGTGGAGAACATCATGTGAGTGCCCCTTTCTGCCCCTCTGGCTGCTGGGGCTCCTTCCGGACGAGCCTTCCAATAAAGCGGGCTTGGCCGCCTGGCGAGCTGGCTACGGTCTCTGAGACCCAGGCCCCACCGTCTCCCCCCGAACTGAAAAGGCGACACCCCCCCCCAAATGTCTTCCCTGATGTTCGGCATCAGGGAAGAGTTATTAAAGTGATAAGGGGCGGCAACCTGGGGAGGTTAAGATTGGAGGAAGAGCCCCCCACCCTGTTTCCCACCCCCAAGAAAATGAAGCCCTGCCCAGCCACCCCCCCCCTCCCGACCTTCCTGTGTGTTTAACTGAATCTGCTAAATCTGTTTTGTTGATAACGCTAATGAGTTTGAAATATCTGCAAATTCAGGGAAATGAATAAGCGATTAACGGACGAGCAAGCTCGAAAAACCTTTGAACGAGCCATGAAGCTGGAGCAAGAATTTACAGAACATTTTACAGGTTGGAACTTCTGCCTCTGTTCCACGTTTGGTGCTCTTTTCTTTTTGCTCTTGAGGGCCGTCCAGGGATGCCCCAGGAGCAGCCGGAACCTTCACTCTCTTAGAGATGATGGCAGGGATGTTTCTGTGGCCCCGGTGCCAGCCTCTGCAGCACCTGGGCTTTGGAGTTCTCCTCTGCTTCCGGCTGCCTTCTGGAGTGTCAGAGACGTTCCCGGGCTCGGCTCTGCCCATGGGGGGCTCAGTTAGTGGAGGTTGGGGACTGGCTGCTCTCCATTTGCGTGTGGTTTTGCACCCGCCATCTTGGGGGGGGGATTCTTCCCAGAAAGGTTCCCCTACAGTCAGCTGGAGAACTAGGAAGGCCAAGGCTCCAAATATCCCCCCACCCTTTTCCCCCCTGAGCATCTTTGGGGGAAATAATTCAACCACAGAGAATCGAAGGGGACCAAGCCTCGCAATGGGTGGGTGGGGGGGGCACCAGAATTGGGGGGTGGGGGTGGGCTGCAAGAGGCAAGGGAAAGAATGGGGTCCTCAGGAGCTGTCTTGTTTGCACCCCTACAGCCATTGTGCAAGGCGACACATTGGAAGAGATTTACAATCACGTCAAGCAAGTCATTGAGGAGCACTCCAGCCCCGTCATTTGGGTGCCGGCCAAGGAGAAGCTCTGAGGCTCCCCTGACTCCAGGGGGTCGGCCTCTGCCTGCCAGCCTGCCTGCCTGCCAGCCGGCGCTCCCTCCTTGGGGCTCCCCTGGGACTTACAAAAAGAGCCCCTCTATGGTTTCCACGTTTCGCCAGCTGCTGGCCGAGGGCTCTTTGCTCCAGAATCAGGGGCCTCTTTCCACTCCTGTGGATAGAGATGGAGAATAATGCGGTTAAAATTCCTTAATGTTTAAGGGAAAGTATCCTTCAGAGACTTTGAGAAAACAAAGCTTTTTATGCAGCCTTTTAACAATTTTTTAATAAGATGAAAGAAAAGTGGTCTTAATGTAAATTGTGAGCAGTTTTGCACGTTTGAATTTGCTAGCATGATTTCCTTCAAGAGATTTGGGTTCAAATTATAGTTTCACAGTTTCTGCCATAAATATTTTTTTCTCAGTTTAATTTAAAAAAATCAAAATCGAAGCTAATGTATTCTTAAATGGCATTATTTGAAAAGGAAAAACTAATTTTCATAATTTCATAAGAAAAACTTTATAGCCTCATTATTATTATTTTTGTTGTTGCTCTTACAGGGTGAAATATCCTCTTGCTTTTAAACTAGATCCTACAAAACTACTTGGAATGTCTTACAGGTCTTAATGGATAACTTGCATTTTCGAATTTTAGGTGCTCAAAAAGCTTGAACTTCACTTAAGAATTATGGATTTTGCTTTGAAAATATTTTAAATGCAATTATAATTATTATAAGTTCTCAGTATCTAAAAATATAAATACATTCTTAGCCAGATTTTAATGAATATTTTACTCATAACAATTGCTTATTTTGTTATAATGAAACTATATATATATATATATATTCACATATACATATGTATTAAACTTTCCTTAATTAAAATATAAGTGTGAGAACTGTTTTCTTAAAAACGTTCCACAAAATACATAATTTTCACACCTAATTTTGGGAACAGAAAAGATTGATTATAAGCAAGTCAATTTTTGCAGCTATGCTTTTGACAGGTTCTTGCCCCCTGTGGGCTTCTGAACCCCAAAGCAGTGCACCCTGCTGTTTTTTGCCCCCCCCCCCGTCCCCCCGTAAATGGAGACAGACTTCAGTTGCTTCCGTTCAGAGGCCAGAGTTCAAGGGCTTCTGAAGCCAAGTTGATGCAGCTGCCCCTGTGCTTCCAGGCCCAGCTCAAGACGATCTGAGAAACTGACTCGGTCTGATGGATTAATCTTTATTTATTGTTTTAATGTTTTATTTTGCATTTTATTCAGGGTCTGTAAGCCGCCTAGAATAATCTTTGGCCCCACGGGCAGGATAGAAATTTGACAGATGTATAAAACTATAAGCAAGTCCTTATCAGTTCTTTGGAAAAAGAGCCCCATACGAAACAGGGTGTGTGACTTGCAGAGTGACACTATTGCTATTACATCACAGAGAAAAGGTTAAGAATTGGGTTTTCAGACAGAACTGTGAAAATAAAAACGGAACTTGCCAGCAGCACCTACTAATGTTTTCCTGGTATAGGTTGCTGTGGGTGGTTCCATGTTAGACGCGTCTTTCTAATTTGCCATCGCTGCCTCTGCTGATGAAGCTGTTCAGGAGGGGTAGAGCTGGTGGTGTTTTCTTCATCCACTGTGAATTTTATTCCTTGGAAGATGTTGACAGTTTCCCGTGTTTTCTGTAGTTGGGTCTTTTTTAATATGACGAAGGTGTCATCTGCATACCATACTTTGAGTTGGCTGTGTGGGAGTGCTCTAGGCGCTGACTTATAGCTTGTGTCCTGCAAGCAGTAATCCCAAAGGCCTCCCTTTGATTTGTTGGTAAATTTGTCCATCAAACTGAAGGTAGGTGGGCAGGAAAGGGTTAATGAGGTCCATGATTGATAACCCTAACCCTTCGTTCCTTCTGAAGGCCAACACCTGGTTTCATTGGAGCCAGGAGGTCATTCTTCCAGACTTTTCTCCTTACCCAAGACATCCTTCGGAACGCAGATGGCGCAAACTCAATGTGCGCAGAACCATTTGCAAGTATATCAAGCGCACGGCGTCGTTCAGGCGATCGGAATCGCTTCTCATTTCGTTCCAGCTGGCTACCGTGGGACGTAAAGTCACTTCTGCCACCGTAGGCCGACGGTTGCGTTTCTGCATCGCCTACCAGCTCCGGTCTAAACAGGTGCTGTTCTTACCTAATAGCCAGGCCCGTTTCGCTCCATTCTAGGCTCCGAGAGGTAGATCGGTATGGCTTCGGGTGACCTAGAGGGGGCGCTCTCAACTCAACATCCTCAGCTTCAAAATTGCCCAGGGATTTAGAAGCCAATTACAGCGGCGTAAATGCCAAACCGGCCAGATGTCTCTGCCTCGGTGTTTCTCAACTTTGATGACTTGAAGATGGTGGACTTCAACTCCCAGAATTCCCCAGCTATCATGCTGGCTGGCCATGTCCGATTCCTTCAGTCAGCTTATCAGCTAACTTAGTGAAAGTTAGCAAAACTCTAGCCCTGCCTCCCCCCCCACCCCCCCGTTCACTTTGGGAACCACTTTCTCCGAATGTAGGCTGGTGGGGGGACCGCGCTAACAGCCCTGCACTGCTTCTCCTTTTCGGGGTCTCCCAGCTTCTATAGGCAGCTGGACCTTCCCCCAATTCATTTTCCAACGCTTTCCTCTTGGCAGGAGTTTGGCCCTGGCATCTGAGTAACCGTGTCTGCGAACAACAACAACACCCCCCCCCCCACCAGTTATTTCTGTTGCGTTGTTGGTTTGAGCTCCAAGCTTGGCGATTTGGTTGCAAACGTTTCGTCCCCATTCGAGCAGACAACTAAATCGCCAAGCTCGGAGCTCAAACCAATGACATAGCTTAGTCCAGTGTTTTTCAACCACTGTGCCGTGGCACACTAGTGTGCCGTGACATAGTGTAAGGTGTGCCGTGGGAAAAACACCCTGCCTATAGTCAATATAGGCACAGAGTTAAATTTTTTTAACATTTTCTAATGGTGGTGTGCCTTGTGATTTTTTTCATGAAAAAAGTGTGCCTTTGCACAAAAAAGGTTGGAAAACACTGGCTTAGTCCAGTACATCACGCTAAAAAACACTGTGCGGCAGTTGGAAACTGTTGCGCGTGTTTCTTTGTCACACACAGCTTAGAGGGAACATTGGTCACCACACTATAAAAAAGATGTTGAGACTCTAGAAAGAGTGCAGAGAAGAACAACCAAGAGGATTAGGGGACTGGAAGCTAAAGCACATGAATGTTACAGGAACTGGGCATGGCTAGCCTAGTGAAGAGAAGGACCAGGGGAGACTTGATAGGAGCCTTTCAATATTTGAGTATTTCAATATCTGTCACAGAGAGGAGAAAGGGGGTCAACCTATTCTCCAAAGCACCTGAAGGCCCGACAAGGAATGATGGATGGAAACTGATCAAGGAGTGATTCAACATAGAAATATGGAAGAATTTTTTGAAAGTGAGAACAATCAACCAATGGAACAGAAGTTGTGGGAACTTCATCACTAGAGGCTTTCAAGAAGAGACTGGATTGCCCTCTGTCAGAAATCATGTAGGGTCTCCTGCTTGGGTGTGGGGGGTTGGACTAGATGACCTTCAAGGTCCCTTCCAACTCAGTGCATCTGTTATCTGTAAGTGATCACGGCAGTCGACCTTTGTATAGTTCCTGTGTATCCTTTTGTAACAGGGAAGGCAATATTTTTGAACCAGTGGTTCAGTGTGAGGCTTGCAAGATTATCATAACTACTGTCACAAAATAGTATGTGACAAGATTTATATAGCCTGAAAATTTTGACTTTCGAAACCTGCCATTATTATCTGGCCAAGGTATTATAATCATCGGGATAAACTATTCTTTTTTTTTAAAAAAATATTTTTTTAAATTTTTAATTTTCAAAACAAACACAACACATCCTTCTTCACATACTATAGAAAGTGTATCAGTTGGTTACAAAAAGACTTTTGTGCATCTCTTCCACAGTCAACAAACATATTAACTCAAGTATTTTAACTCAGATATTTATACATGTTACCATCATACCTCCATTTTCATTTGACTATAATTGTTTAAACGTCCTTCATCATAAAATATACCAAGATTTAATACATAACCACATACTGGCATTTCATTTAATATTTATAAAATCCTCCAATAACACTGAATCCGTATGTCCTATTTTAGCTAATCCATAATATTTAATAACAAAATTTTTCTAACCCCCCTTTCCAAATCACTGTTTACAATTTACATCCAGTTTCCTTATGTTATACCCATACTATATATATATATATATATATATATATATATATATATATATATATATATATGTTGTTATCATTATCCCTCCTTCATTTAACTATATCCTGTATCATAACATTTCCCCCCTAAGATCAACATCCCACGAATTGGACCCGGAAATAAACTGGTAACCATGCGGTTTGCGAAGCGGAGAGGTAACATGTTCTGTCAGAAACACACATCTGCATTTAGTTCCAGCTGAAAATTTTGAACGGTCCTCAAGGGCAGTCCCATTTCTGCTGCTAAGCAAGACATTTGTTCAGTGAACTTTACGAGCTTTCTTGCTCCAGTTGATAAGTGAATCACTGCAGTTAGTAACACGGTTGTTAAGTGAATCTGGCTTCTCATTTCTGACTCTTGTCAGAGAGTCACACAAGGGGGGGGTCACATGAACGAGAGACACTGCGACCATCATGAACATGAGTCACTTGGCAAGCATCTGAATTTTGATCACATAGTGCAATGGTCATGTGTGAAGAACCGTCATAAGTTGCTTTTTTCAGTGCTATTGTAACTTTGAATGGTCACTAAATGAACAGTTGTAAGCCAAGGACATAGTTCCTTGTTCATTTGGGGGGGGGGAGTTGATTCATTGGTTTTTAATGTTAACTGCCCAAGTGGAGAGAACAAATGTGGGGGTCCAAATAATTTATTTCAGAAAAATAAATGCCTGGACCCGAAAGCAGCTGCTGCCGAATTGGGACTCAGGCTGGCTCTGGTGCTGCCCGGAGGACTCGGCCTAACCTCAGATGATGTCTTCCCCCCCCCCTTTTGGAGAACTGCTTTCTCCCTTGGTTTCCAGCCTCCTTGCAGGCTTCTGCCTTCTTCCCTAAGGGCTTGCTGCCTTGGTGGTCCTTCGTGAGAGCCGTGATTCCTTCCAGCCATGAGGTGGTTCTGCTGGGCAGGCCGGACTCCTCCTATCCTGGCTGGAGGACAAGGTTTATTTGAACCTTGGCAGGTATTAACATCTCCAGGCGCAGCAGCAGCAGCTCCTCACTCCCCACCCCAAGGGCCCAGCCTGTGTCCTAAGTGGGAGGGACCAGGAGGAGGACCAGGGCTGTGGAAGGGCCAGAGTCCTCTCCCTTTGCTGGCTGGAGAGAGAGGAGACGCAGGGCTTCCGCCATGAGGCACCCAGCAGGCTTCTTCGCCCTTCTACTTTGCTTCCCCACAGGTAGGGGGATGTTTTCCTTAGTCATGGTGGATTCAGGAGGTGCTTCTGGTGCAGTTTCTAGAGAAACCCCACCCGCCTAACTTTCATCGTGTGCAGAAATGTTCCCCTTCTGGCTTGCAACAGCACTAGTGGCTCTTATATGTATGGGTGGGATTTTTGTCAGCTCTTGCATTATTATTAATTGCTAGTCATTATCATCATTTGAAGAAGAGGGGGGGGGAACATGTTTGAGAAAGAATATTCCGGTAGGTACAGGACTTTTCTGGACCTACAGACTTCTTTCCTTTGCTTTCTGGACAATACAGAAATGCAGACCGAGACAAAGTTGGGGGCTTGTTTAATAAGAACCGCTTTGCTGCCTCTTGTCACCTTCCGGATTTGCAAGTCCTCGTGGGAAACCGTCTTCTCCCAACACCAGGGCTGCT